CTTCCAGCAGCTGACCTGCAGTGCACACAGGTGTTGGCGAAGACCGGTGACGCAGCGACACCGTCTAATGTCATAGACCAATGTTACTTCAGTTAAAAACCTTTTCTGAACTGGCAGAGGGCCAGTTTAAAAACAAATGATCTGCAGCGCACGAGGTTTGAAACAGCTTGGTAATGTTTGTTCCCATTAGTCATCATAGTGCTACGACCATAGACATCCTCTCTGGTGGGAGTCGAATATGGATCTAAAATCTGGTGACTTCGGTTCTGAATACAGGCTTGTACCCTGCCACAGAAATGATGCATGCACGGGGGTGTGGCACCACTTTGGAGGGTTCAGCCAAGCTTGTTCTTGAGGGGAGGGCAGGCAGCATTGTCTCTAGTCTTCGTGCCACATCTGCTACTTCTTCCTGTCCTGGATTTCCCTAACAGCAGAGAGCCCTGTGCTTAGGAGAACTACCCGGCTTCTGAGATGTCTCCAGGACACTGGGTTCCCAGTTGGGCAGGACCCTGCATTGTTAACACAGTGCCTTGCATAAAGTAGATTTCTAAGAGTGTTTGTTGAATGACTACATGAGCATATACTTCTTTTTTATGAAGATAAATCTCAGCATGCCTTTAACTTATAAATTCATAAATTAATCTAACATAGCATTGCTGAGCAATGGGCGAACTTCGTTTTTTCCCCTGAAGGTGATCCCACTCAAATAATAAATTTCTTTGTAATATTTGGAATGTTTTCTTATAAAAGCTCTAAATAGCAGAATAGGAAAACACTGCCATGCCAAGAATCCTTGAACTTTAAAGGAAATTAAGCAAGATGCAAATGCACATTAGGCTGAGTACCTTTGTGGTAACTGGACATGAGAACTTGAAGATGATTGGTCTAAATGGCCTATCTGATCTCTGCTTCCTCATCCATGAAAAGGGAACACTTAGACATCCTTTCACGTTCATAGGCAGGGTGGAGTGACGTAATAGATAACATCTGGCACACATGACAAAAGGCAGCCATTATAGAAACAGTCCACATGTCCTCAAACAGATGAGTACATCAAGATATGGTCTATGTACATAATGGAATACTACTCAGTGGTGAAAAAGATGAACTCACACCTTTGCAACAATATGGATAGAACTGGAAGGGACGATGCTCAGAAAAGTAAGTCAGAAAGAGGAAGATAAATACAGAGTGTTGTCACTTATGGGGGGGGGGGATAGAGAAACCAAACAAGCCTCGAAAACTGACCACAGATTTGAGGCATTGGAGCTCAAGGGGAGTTATGTAGCAGAGGAAGGTGAAAACAGGAGGTGGAAGAGCACACCAGACTCTGATTAAGACTACCAGAAGGGGTTGGGGTGGGGTGCAAGCGAAGCAGGGGGCCAGGGGAGGATTACTGAGGCTTGGCTGGTGGTAACAGACAATCGTAGACCTGTAAGCTTATACTCCGAACACATACACTGCGACGTAGATCAGCATTACCCAATAAATGTAACTTCGATAAAACCAAACCAAACCACCAATGACAGGCCGGTGGCACCTCCATGTAGCCCTACATTTCCCACCTTAACAAAAAGAGGTGATTTGCCAAGATTTGCATGTAAAACCAAGCATCCCATTTTTGCCCTAATTAACTCGATAATTGAGCATCTGGATTTACCCAGTGTGTTTGCACGTGTAATTGGCTATGTTTCATTACTAAAGACACCTGTCTTACTCAATCATTGTCTCAAATGGAAGCCAACCAAACACTATGGATCATGATTTCAAAGGACATGGGCCTCGCTTCATACTGAATAAACTTCTACATTCATAACATAACATTAGCCGAAGCAAAGGTCCCAGCCTCAGTCTGAAGCAGGTAATTCCCAGTGATTTGAGAGCAGAAATTCCCATGCTTAAGGAAATTCCTCTTGGAATAAAGGGACACTTGATACTTTAAAGTCATATTCCCAAGAACACCTTGTCAGCTTGGCAGCCCAGAGGTATTTCTTCTCTTGCAGGAACCCCTCGAGAGACTTGCCTCACTAAGTCCTTTTAGACCCCCACCTGCTGGGCCGAGCCCACGGCCTCCTCACAGTCCACCCTCCCTTTGGCATGGATCTCGGAAGACAAACCAGTATCTGGCTCCAGTTCCAGGCTTCCCGTGCAGCTGGCATGGAGCACCAAGGGGCATCTGGATTGGCAGAACGTGCAAGGGTCTCTGGGGCTAGGGCTCAACTACCGAGCCTAGGACAAGGGCACCCTTCCTGGCTGTGCCCGGAGAGATAAATGATCTCTGTGCTGCCTGAACTGGGGTTCACACCCAAGGGGACAGAAGTTCAGAGACATTGTTTTGGTCCTGGGGTTCTGTGTCCCTGGGGTGTCCATACTATTGTTTTTGTGCCTGTCAATCTCTGGCAGGGGTCTTCTCCTGAGTGCGGTGCTTGCCTGTCAAGAGCATGTGGCTTTGAAGTGGGCATTATAAAAGCAGAACTCTGAAACGTTTCCTCCCAAAAAAAATCCTGGGGCAAAGAGAAGAGACAGAATAGGAGCCCTGGAAGTTTGGGAGGCTACCAAAGGCAGCTACTCCAGGGAGAACTTTCTTTTAGCTCCTTTGCTTTAGTTCATTATTTATTCATGCATTCATTGATTCTTTCATTCGTGTATGTAGCAAAGATAATGGAGCGCAAATTGAGTGCCAGGCATTGTCTTATACAAGGACACGCAAGGACAATAGTACATCATTATCACAGTGAAGAATATTTAGATAAGTTGGTCAGAGAAGATTTCTTCGAGGATGTTCCACTGAAATAGATACCAAGATTCAAGGTGATGACAATAACCTAAGAGATGAGAATGAGCTGGTGTGGCAAGAGGTGGAGAAAGACCATTTCAGGAAGAGGTAACAGCCAGCACCAAATGCAGAACGGAAAGCAGGCCAGATGTCTGGTGTGCGGTGGGAGAGGGGAAAAATGGTTCAAGGGCAGAGAGGCTAGCTGGAGTCAGAACACGCCATGTGTACGCAGTGCTGAAGACTGGGTCTCATTCAGAGTTAACGGGAAGTCGCCCACTTGCTGTGTCACATGCTTATGAAGGCCATGCTCGAGCTGTTTGATGCATGGGTTGGACAGGGCGAGTCTCAGAGAGAGCGGTCTGGGTCTGTTTGCACGGGCTAGGTGAGACCCAGGGGCCAGCCGGTGTGCGGAGGTGGGAGCAGACAAAGGGAAAGTGGACAGGTGCAGGACGGTTAGAAAGTGGGCAGAACAAAGACCTTCTGGCCAGCCTTGCCTCGAACGCGTAGGTGCGCACGTGCAGAGGCTGACAGTCACACTGCTCGGGGTTCCCGCCGGCGGGCTCCGGACCGGCCTGCAGCACCGGCCCAGCCCCTGCTGACATCGTACAGGTAGGTCAAACTTGGCACGTGGGGGTATTCACACCGTGGGAACCGGGGCGCGCCAAGTCGGGACTCAACAAAGCAGAGGGGTGGGAGGAGAGGGAAAGAAGGCAACGGCTCCAGCTGCCGCGAAGTTTGGGCGTGAAAGTGGCGCCGAGAAGCTCTTGACGCCCTTCCGAAACACCCTGTGCTAGAGGAGAAGCAAACCGAGAGGCAACTGGCCCTTCTATGTCTCCTTCGGGGACTTCAAGGGAAGCGGGCACTTGGCTTCTGATGCAGCAATGTAACTGGTTGATTTAGTCAACTGGAAGGACAAAGGCATGACCTGCGCTAGACGCCGCTTGCAGAGACACTGCCGGGTCACTCCACCCTGGCCTCAGGGTTCAGCAGTAGGCACTGGGGGGCTCCGAAAACGCGGGAGCTGGCCCACCTTTAAACCAGCCTCTAAGGTGGCGCCAGTTCAAGCGAACATGTGACTAGCAAAGCTCTTCTTGCTTCCATTCGCTCTTTCAAGGTCTTCCCCAGGGCTCCCTCCTATGCCCAAGAATCACCATTCGGGGTGGGCTTTCGTATGTTCCAACTTGCCTGGGAGAGCCTTGGTTTCTGTTACAGTCTCGACGTGACTGTCTGCAGTCCCCCCTCATTCCCGTAAGTGTCCTGCTTGCTCAATTAGCCGTGGAAAAATCCCAAGTGAGACCGCGTCGACTGAAAACAGCGGTTCAAGGATGAGGTCAAGAAACCGGCCGGTTCCCTGACTCTTCTCTCTCTTGCACAGTTTATATCATGGAAAAACAACATGTAGGGAGAATATTCATCCCCAAGCCATCCTGGGGATGATTTCCAGAAACAGTTCAAGAGAAAAGCTAGCTTAAAGGGTGGCAGCGCACAGACAGGGGCAGGGGAGCACTGAGCGAGTCAGCTAGGAATGCTGGGTGATGCTGTAGTCTGGCAAGTGGGGGCTGGGTCTCTTCTAAAAGGCGTTTGTCCCAGAACAAGCAAATGCAAATTGCACTAAAGCCTTTGTGTGTTATTCTTCCTGGATGTATTTGCATTTAAAAAAGATTTCTTCTATTTATTTATGCATAGGAGAGCTGGGATACAGGCCATAGTGTGGGAGTTGAGAGGACTCACCAGACACAGAGTGGGGAGCAGAACTGGTGGATCCTGAGATACACTGCACGGGGCGGCAGTGGGCCGGTCAGGAGAGGTCTGCTCTGTCTTGCGGGTCAGCTCCCTGGCTGGGATCGAACTCCTGCTGCGGTGACTCGGGGATAGCTTCACAGTGCTGAGACTTAACCCAGTGTGCATCTGAACGTTCCTTCAGCCACCAACTTTCAGATCTGGGCAGCTAACTGATGGCCCTTCTACCGCGGCATTCTAAATCACAGTGGACAGGAAGGTGCTGCTTCTACCACCTTCAAAGCTAAAACACTAGAGGCGTGACCTACAGCTACGCCATTATGACCCTCGGTAACTGGCAAACACAGCCCTGGGGTGGGAGGTCTGCTCAGACAGTTGAGAACAATACCCAAAATGTTTATTTCAAACTGTAGTAAGCAGGCTGTTTCGATTTTGAGCCTCGGTATATTTTGGAATGGCAATCTGTTCTCTCTTATCCTTCCAGGCATTTCTAATGTGGACGCTGAAGAGACAATTCCTTGTCCTTTTAAACGCGATCCTAATTTCCAGACTCCTGGGGGCTCGATGGTTTCCTAAAACCCTGCCCTGTGATGTCACACAGGATGATGCAATGGCCCAGGTGATTGTGGACTGCACAGACAAGCATTTGACAGAAATCCCTGGAGGCATTCCCGCCAACGCCACCAACCTCACCCTCACCATTAACCACATACAGGGCATCTCTCCGGCCTCCTTCCACAAGCTGGGCCAGCTGGTGGAGGTGGACTTCAGATGCAACTGTGTACCTATTCGCTTGGGGCCAAAAGACCACGTGTGCACCAGAAGGCTGCAGATTCAACCTCAAAGCTTTAGTGGACTCAGTTATTTAAAATCCCTTTACCTGGATGGAAACCAGCTTCTAGAAATACCTCAGGGTCTTCCTCCCAGCCTACAGTTGCTGAGCCTTGAGGCTAATAGTATCTTTGTGATCACAAAAGAGAATCTCACAGAACTGGTCAACATAGAGCAACTGTACCTGGGCCAAAACTGTTACTTTCGCAACCCTTGTAACGTTTCCTATTTCATCGACAACGATGCTTTTCTAAATATGAGGCAGTTAAAAGTGCTCTCCCTAAAAGATAACAATATCACATTTGTCCCCAAGGTTTTGCCGTCTACTTTAACTGACCTCTATCTTTACAACAACATTATTGCATCTATCCGAGAAGATGATTTTAGCAACCTCAACCACCTGCAATTTCTTGACTTAAGTGGAAACTGCCCTCGTTGCTATAACGCACCATACCCTTGCACACCCTGTGAAGATAATTCTCCCCTAAAGATCCACAGGAATGCCTTTGATGCACTGACGGAATTACAAGTATTACGTCTGCATAGTAACTCTCTCCAGTATGTGCCCCAAGACTGGTTTAAAAACCTTAAAAAACTGAAGGAACTAGATCTATCCCAAAATTTCCTGGCCAAAGAAATCGGAGATGCCAAATTTCTGCATCTTCTTCACAACCTTGTCCATTTGGATCTGTCTTTCAATTATGAACTTCAGGTCTATCATTCAACTATAAATCTCTCTGATGCGTTTTCTTCACTGAAAAATCTGAAAGTTTTGCGGATCAAAGGGTATGTCTTTAAGGACCTGAACAGCCATAACCTTTCCCCGTTAAGGCATCTTTCCAATCTTGAAGTTCTTGATCTCGGCACTAACTTTATCAAAATTGCTGATCTCAGCCTGTTTAACCAATTTAAAACATTGAAAGTCATTGACCTTTCAATGAACAAAATATCCCCTTCAGGAGATTCAAGTGAAGCTGGCTTCTGCTCTAATACCAGAACTTCTGTAGAAGGTGGTGGGGTTCAGGTCTTTGAAGCACTACATTATTTCAAGTATGATGAGTATGCAAGGAGTTGCAGGTACAAAACCCAAAAGACTCCTTCTTTCTTACCTCTCGATGGAGACTGTTACCTGTACGGGAAAACCTTGGATTTAAGTAGAAATAATATATTTTTTATCAAATCCTCTGATTTTAAGCATCTTTCTTTCCTCAAATGCTTAAACTTGTCGGGAAATAGCATTGGCCAAGCTCTTAATGGCAGTGAATTTCGGCCCTTAGCACAGTTGAAATATTTGGACTTCTCCAATAACAAGCTTGATTTACTCTACTCAACAGCATTTGAGGAGCTACACAATCTGGAAGTTCTAGATATAAGTAGCAACAGCCACTATTTTCAGTTAGAAGGAATTACTCACATGCTAAACTTTACCAAGAACCTAAAGTTTCTGAAGAAACTGATGATGAACAACAACGGCATCTCTACATCCACCAGCAGGACCATGGAGAGCAAATCTCTTCGTGTTCTGGAGTTCAGAGGAAATCACCTGGATGTCTTATGGAGAGATGGTGATAGTAGATACTTAGGGTTCTTCAAGAATCTGCTGACACTAGAGGAACTAGACATCTCTGAAAATTCCCTGAGCTTTTTGCCTCCTGGAGTTTTTGATGGGATGCCTCCAAATCTAACAACTCTCTGCTTGGCCAAGAACAGGCTCAAGTCCTTCAACTGGGGAAGACTCCACTATCTGAAGAATCTAGAAACTTTGGACCTCAGTCAAAACCAGCTGAAGACTGTCCCTGAGAGATTATCCAACTGTTCCATGAGCCTCAAGAAATTAATTCTTCGGAAAAATCAAATCAGATATCTAACAAAACATTTTCTGCAAGATGCTTTCCAGTTGCGGTATCTGGATCTCAGCTCAAATAAAATCCAGGTTATCCAAAAGACCAGTTTTCCAGAAAGTGTCCTCAACAATCTGGAGATGTTGCTTTTGCATCATAATCGGTTTCTGTGCACCTGTGATGCCGTGTGGTTTGTCTGGTGGGTTAACCATACGGAGGTGACTATCCCTAACTTGGCCACGGATGTGACTTGTGCAGGTCCTGGCGCACACAGGGGCCAGAGTGTGGTTTCTTTGGATCTGTACACCTGTGAGTTAGATCTCACTAACTTGATTCTGTTCTCACTGTCCATGTCAGCAGCTCTCTTTCTGATGGTGGTGATGACAGCCAACCACCTCTACTTCTGGGATGTGTGGTACAGTTACCATTTTTGTAAGGCCAAAATAAAGGGCTACCAACGGGTATTACTGGATTCGTGCTATGATGCTTTCATTGTGTATGACACCAAAGACCCGTGGGTGACAGAGTGGGTTCTGGATGAACTGGTGGCCAAACTGGAAGACCCAAGGGAGAAACATTTTAATCTATGTCTCGAGGAAAGGGACTGGTTACCAGGGCAGCCAGTACTGGAAAACCTCACCCAGAGCATACAGCTTAGCAAAAAGACGGTGTTTGTAATGACGGACAAGTACGCCAGGTCTCAGAACTTTAAGATCGCATTCTACTTGTCCCATCAGAGGCTCATGGATGAAAAAGTGGACGTCATTATCTTGATCTTCCTCGAGAAGCCTTGTCAGAAGTCCAAGTTTCTCCAGCTCCGAAAGAGACTCTGTGGAAGTTCTGTCCTCGAGTGGCCAACAAACCCGCAGGCCCACCCGTACTTCTGGCAGTGTCTGAAAAATGCCTTGGCCACAGACAGCCACGTGACGTACAGTCAGTTGTTCAAAGAAACAATCTAGCCCTTCTTTGCAAACGGTGACTCCCCAACTCGTCAAGGAGGAGCGCGGCTGCTGAGATGTTCTCATAAATGTCTTACCAAGAGTCTTCAAATTCTCCAAGCCCTGGGAGCGCCTGTGTCAGTGAAGAGTCATCGAGGTATATGACGAAGGTGCCAGAAGGGAGGTGCGCAGAGTGTTACGTACCCTTTCTTACTTCTGCCTCTAGCTGCGCTTGATGGCGCCCCTTCTGCACCCACACAAAATACTGTCGGGCAAAAGGCGTCAAGGCACAGGCGTGGGGCTGTGATTTCCTGTATTATGACAACCAACTGGCGACGGGATGGCAGGTCCGAGAACTGCACCCCGGCCCTTCAGACGTGCTAGTTTGCAGAGAAGTCGGGTAAGAAATGCTCAGCACCTGTGTCTGTAACATAAACATGTGCATGCATCCAAAATTAAGCAGAGTTCATTACTGAAAAAAAAGCTGTTAACTCCTCAACCAGTTGCTTTAGCACCACCAGGCAGCCCTCTGTGTAGACGATGTGGCGACGCCGGCAGGCGGGCAGGTGGCTGCTGCGCGGGCGTCCCTTGCCCTACTCGCTTGGGCCTGCCGTTGGGCTCCACGGGGAAGCAGTGGGAGACACCAGGAGCGCTGATGGGCTGTCCACTCACAGGTGCGAAGGAGGGGCAGGAAGCTGCCCCCTGAAGGGGTGCTGTTTGCCGTGGCCAGTCACTTACCTGCTTTGATATCACTATGGACTGAGTATGTGGCACATGCTGAAATCCTAATCCCCGATGCGATGGTATTGGGGATGATGGTGGGCCTCGGCGGTGAGGAGGTCACAGAGTGGCGCCCCATGATGGGACTGCTGTCCGAGGAAGAGGCCCGAGAGCAAGTTGGCTGTTCCCCTCCCCCATGTGCGAAAGCAAAGAGAAGTGGCAGTGGCCCTGCAGGCCTGAGGCCTCCCCAGGCCAGACAGCGCTGGCTCCAGCTCCCGGCAGAAAGCACGGCTGTTCGAGTCGCTTTGTCTATGGTATTTTGTCATAGCGGCCCCAGCTGATAAAAGTAAAACCGCCGAGGACACGATCTTTCCACCTGCTTGGCTCACTAATGTGGTCTGTGTGGAATTGTCTGCAGTCTTCACTCACCAACATGCAGTGGTTTGGGGTGGTAGACTTGCAAAGAGGATGCCAGAGCGTGTACTTACTTACAGTTACCAGGCAGGCATGGCAAATTATGGAGTCCCTTAAAGTGGGAGCACTGGAGGGGTGGGGGAGGGGGGACAGGTTTGCAGACTTTGACACGGAGGAGGTTTCAGTCTTGAAACCTTTACTACTCAAAAGCCATAGAAAGGACCAAGATAATGGACCTCCCTGGTGGCACAGGAGTTGAGTCTCGCACTATCTCCAGCCACTGCAACCTGAGTTCGATCCCCGGCCAGGGAGGTGTCTCCCCGCTGCTCCCCTCGGCAGTGGATTTCAGTGGATCCACCTGTTCTGCTCCTCACTCTGTCTCTGGTGAATCATCTCCCACCACCCCTGCACCCCAGCTCTTGTATGCATACATAAATAAAAAGTTTTCAAAATCTTTGAAAAAAATCAACTTTTTTAAACAAAGGAAAGGACCAAGATACTCTAAAGACACACATACTTTCAACTGGTTATAAAGTATAAAGTCACAAGTTCAAATGCTGAAACCTGGCCAGTTTGCTTTGTTTCATAAAAGAAATGATCCACAGAGCACCCTGCCTGGGCCCTTTGCAGAATAGTGTGCATGGGTTCAAATCCCCAAATAGTAGCTTGGAGATGCTGTGTCTTCCTCACATGGAAGTGCCAAAGGTTTTACCATAAGTAGAGCTGGAAACAGAACGGGAATGATTTCGAAAGAAATTCACGAAGTAATTTCTGGAATGACTAGATATAGAGAAGTTGCTAGTGCCAACTATCTGGCAGCTTCTGTAAGCTTGAGAGTTCTTGATAGCTGCCTTTCTTCCTCAGTGAAAAGGAGGAGAACATCACAAAAAAATCAGCATTGGGCACGCATACATTTTCTCCCATTAAAACACACAAGTACATCAAGTTGAAGCTATTTTGGTGATTCATAAATCGGAAGCACTTAGAGAAAACCTAAAGATGATCCAAAATGGATCAAGAGGAAGAGAAACTGAAAAGAACGACCCAGAGCCCGCAGCGCGTTCTGCCCGGGGGCGCAGCGGGGGTGCGTTGTCGGGACCCACCCAAAGCACATGGTTAGTTTCGTCCCTCCAAAGCCTGAGGGGCGCTTTCAACCCCCCGAGTGCCCTCACCCACATGGAGCACAGACGGCTGGAGCCCCATGGATGGCTCAGAGCACAAGCCACCCGCTCAGGCTGACCCCAGAGTCTCCCCACCTCCTCCTCCCCCCCACCAAGACCTCGGGTTAGCGGGGTCCCAGCCCCAGGAGGCATTAGGTGGGGTCCCTGCCACGGCTGCGCAAAGGGAGCAAGCGTGTGCAGGGGGAGAGTGGGCGGGTGACCGAGTCCTCCTGGCCAGACCCTGCTGGCTGCCTCACGTCTGCTACAGGCCGCTCTGGCCAGCTGAAGGCCCGTGGCTGCAGATGGCAGCTTGAATCTTGTCAGGGAAGATGACGACGGGGAGGGGACACCAGGACTTGAAAACTGAGCGCCTGGTTCCTGGCCAAGGTGCAGCCGTGGGAGTGCGCATCTGCCCTTCCCTCTGCGCTCCTGGGCAGGGCAAGGTTCTGGGCCGTGCTAGATGGGACGAGAGCCAGAGGGCGCCTCCGGGCTTCCGGGGTGGCAGCTGTCAGGGGCTGGAGGGGACCCACCACCAGTGTCACCTGCTGCAAGACGGAGCTCCGACCCTAAGGGACACTGGGAGCTGTTTGAAACTTCTGAAGTGCTGAGAGCAGCATGGGCGGGGAGGCGCCAGGGGCGTGACTGCGACTGAGGAGAGGCCGGCTCTGGAGAGCGCCAGGACCGAAATGAACCACTCCGGGAGGAGGGCAAGGCGACCAAGCCACCCACCGGCAATAGCAAAGAGGAGGAGTGAGAGAGAGAGAAGAGTCCCCAAGTCACGAGAGATCGAGCGGGGACAGGCCCGCGGCACGGGGCTGTCCATGGTTTCGTGCTGTCTCAAGTCTTACGGACTTTTCACCTTTCTTCTCTTGCCTCGCCCTCTCTCTCAGTTTGCTGTTGGGCTCTGGACACCCACGGGATCCCACGCAAGGCAGAGGAATGAAGAGAGAGCGGCCGTTGTTGCAGGTGGGCGTTTCTGTCCAGAAGCAGTGGTTTGGGGCGCTTTCAGTTTAAAACACATCTCGCCCCACAGCACAGCCACCTGCGTCCCTGAGCTCAGTCTTGCAGCGTGAACTCGATGAAACCCTCATAGCGTGACACCGGCCAGATCTGCCACATTCAAATCACTGTTCACTAGGCTGGTCTCAGCTTCAAAGCACACAGCTTAAGGAACTGGAGAAGACCTGGTGCTGTGCTTTAGAGAGCCTGACCTGGGGGTACGATGCAGCAAGAGGCTTCACCAGAGACAGAGTGGGGAGCAGAACAGGCAGATGGACAAAGCACACTGCCGAGGGAGCAGCGGGTGGGTCAGGAGGGGTCTGCTGTGCCATGTGGGTCACCTCCGGGGCAGGAATTGAACAGTCGCTGAGGCAGCCATGGCTTGGCTGAGCTTTGCAGTGCAGCACTCTAACCTGCTGCGCCACCAGCAAGGGCTCATGGTTCATTTCTAATATGTTTGTCACGATATTTCACTGGCTGCATCTCTTCCCCTATCAATGCCTTCTCCCTCCTGGTGACTTATGGTGACTCGACGCGTTGGAAGAACCCAGAGTGAAATTAACCAGGAAGGTTCAAGACCTAGTGTCTCACCATAAGCACCTTCCAGAAAGAATCTTGTAGGATTCTGGAGGGAAACAGGAAGTCCTGGTGGCTCCGTGGCACTTTTCAGATGTCCCGAGAGTCCCCCCTGGGGGGCCGTTGCTTCCACACACAGAAAACACCTCTAATGTTCTGGCCGACGGCAACCCAGGGGCAAAAGCCAAACAGAGGCAGTCAGGTGGGCCGCACATCGCACCGTATGGTGCACAGACCGCTGCACTTCCACAGGGCAGGGCCAGTCTGGCTGTGCACGTGCAGGGCTTCCCTAGTGACCGCCAGGGTTGACATTTTGAACAATAAAAGTTTGCAGCGACATCGCCATGACGCCATACCTGACCCGCTGGCAGGATGCACACCAAGACAGTGCTCGGGCTGTCGTGGAGTTCAACTGGCCGGCGGTCCTGGACTCACCCCTGGAACAGAGGGCAGCACCCCACGCTGGGTCCAGGCGGCGGCCTGAGGACTTTGTAACTTTGTCAGCTTGTCACCTGGGCCGCAGTCAGTGAAGCGGTTGACAGCGTTCATTCCCCCCCAGGCCTGCACTGCCACACAGCTTAGTGGCCTTGGCTTGATGCTGTGACTGAAATGCCCGGTTAGTGGACAGCCTTCCACAACCACGTGACTCGAGTCCATTAACCGCCACGATGGATTAATCCGTGAGCTGATCACTGTCCAGAATGGCCATGTAAGAAAACAGAAGACAGGGGCCATCTTCTGAACGGAGGATGCATGTGAAAATAATCGCAAGCTTGGCTCCCACTCATGAGGGCAGCCCCCCAAAGGGAAGGGAAGAGGGAGAAGAAAGGCGTCAACTGAAGTCAGTGGTACCTGGACGCTGTCACTGAGTGAGGTGCAGAGAAGAGGGACTGAAGTCACACTCGTGAAGCAGCAAGTGCAAGTTAGATGCCTCAGTTCTCCCGCAATATCGTCACATCCGCTCTGTGAGGCTGGCATTACCATCTAAAGACGAGACACGGTTAGCTCAGGGATGTGAACAGGCCACAGGAGTCAGGCTTCAGGCCCTGGAGAAGGGAATGGCTTCTGCCACACTGAGGCGGTGCTGCGCAGCTCTCCGGTTGGCTCTCCATTTTTACTGGGGACTAGCATCACCTCAGTGGTTTGGAAATCAGGTGGTT